GAACACATTTTCGAAATACATTTTCAGCTTAACATTTCCTCTTCAATTTCCTATTAATCATAATTCGTCCAGGTAGGTTGGATAAAAATTATAGAGAGAAGATCGAATTGCTTTTCGCTTTTAGAAACTAGTAGTTTCTTTAAAACTTAGTCGTATAGAAATAGTCTTCAGTTTTTTATCTATTTTTCTACTGTAGTTTTATTGTGGTGGTTTTTTTCATTTACTTACTGAAAACTAAAGTCATTTGCATTAAATAACTATTTATCTTAATGTGTTACTGTTTAGGAAAATCGCTGCTTAAATTTTATGATTTCTTCGAAGCAGTGAATTGAGAAATAATGTTCTGTCTTTTTTATTTTCTCATTGATTTTGTCAAATATTCATATTTTCTGAGCTATTTTCCTCTTTTATAATAGCAAGTGCTATTTTTGCACGACTCAGTTCTACTTCACAACGAAATTTTTAATTTAGTACCTGATTTAATTAGTCAGAAAATAATCACTGTTGTGTTAAAATTCTTAAGAATGGAAACAAAAACTACCCAAGTTTAATTTAAATTTTGATTTAGGTGCTGTGAAAATTTCAGATTATTTGAGCAAAATGCTTGGCATTCCACTGATCTCAGAATATATTCATAAAGTAGTCAAACCACAGGTGGTTGCCGATAAAGTGGATTTCTTGAATTATTATGCAACATCATTATTACTAGCTTTGGTAGCATTGGCTATCTCAGCAAAACAGTATTTTGGTTCACCAATTCAGTGCTGGGTACCAATGGAATTTCGAGGTATTTTCGCTCTGCTTATTTGCTTGATTATAAATTTCGAAAAAAAGAAAGTTGAGAATTTCAGTTTTAAAAGTTCATTTTCAGGTGGTTGGGAAAAATATGCAGAGGATTACTGTTTTATTCAAAATTCATACTATATTCCATTTACGGAACAGATACCACAAGAATTACATGAACGAAATGATCAGATCAGTTATTATCGGGTATTACATTTTCTTCAAATACTTAAGTAATGAGGAAGAAATTAAACATTTTACTATATTCGAAAATAATAAATTTTAGTTTGATTATTAGCGAATTAAATTATATAGCGGATACTTAAAGCGAAATAAATGTATAAATATTGTTGAATTTATTACATTTCAGTGGGTGCCGATAGTTTTGGCCTTACAAGCTTTAATGTTTTTTGCCCCTAACTATTTCTGGAATATTCTTTACAAAGAAACAAGTAATGTCCAAGAAACTTTTCTTTTTTTCTTACTTTTATATCAATTCCTTAGCATATTTCTTATTAGCTTTTCATCTTCGCTTATTTTTTTTGTTGAATTCAAGTTGTGCAGTTCATTTTTTCAAAATAGTTTTTAGAAAAAAGATAAGTTCAATAAAATTTTAATTTCCATGGAGCATTGAAACAGTTGCAGCGATGTCTAGTCACATCTTTTTACTATTTAATAATATATTAGGTGAAATCCTTATTTCATAGTTCGAAGTGAACTGAAGCATTCATTCCACGATCTCAAGTGGTCTAAAGCACTCGTTCTATAATTATTAGGTCTAAAATTTCGATTAATCTTTAAAGACTAAAATTCCATCATCCTGAAATCTCATTCATACTTCTTTAACAGCAATACAACCGCAAGGAATAGTAAAGGAAGCTAAGAAATGCTCCACTTTGCATGGTCACAATCGTGACGTAGAGATTCGAAATTTGGCAGAATATATCGGTGATACAGTATCACTTTTCAACTCTCAAGATGGCTTCAGAGTGGTTAAATTTTTATTAAACAAATTTTCTTTTTAGCTGGAGAAATCCAGGTTTCTGTTTCTCTGATAATTTTTTCCACTGTTTTCATTTTTTGAATATTCAGAAATTTAAATATGTGCATTTTAGGGATTTACTCGATCCGGTCGAAATGCTACAATGTTATATTTGCTAACGAAGCTTCTTTATGTTTTAAACATTATTGGTCAGATTTATATGCTGAATCATTTCTTCGGTGGTGATTATCTGCAGTGGGGTTTTCAAGTATCTGAGAGATTTCATTTCTATTTTTCTTTTTTTTTTTTATTACCATTGCTAATATAAGATTTCTGGTCAGTAATAGGGTCTATGATTGAAATTTAGTTTTAACTTCAGTGGGATAATAATTAGTCTACCATTCATTAATAAAATGTAGAATTGTTATGAACCTCTGATTATTGAATGATAGCGTTCCTGCTTCCTTGCAGGACTTCAATACTAACTTTAAAAGTATCACTTCCGTCGTTATTTTATCAATGATCGAAAATTAGACTAAAAGAAGGTTTTGCAGACAATAACGGATGTAGTATCCGGAAGGGAATGGATGGAATCAACAATATTCCCACGTGTTATCATGTGTGACTTCCAGGTTTAACTCTTTTAACTTCTCTTAGTAATTTCATTTGGTTCTCATGAAATTTCAAAGGATATGCAAAACGTCTTGTCTAATTGCAAAGGCAAGATATGCATGAGAACCAATTCACTTTCACCTTTTCAGGTACGCCGACTGGGTAATATACAGCGTCATACAGTACAATGCGTCATCATGATGAATATGATTAATGAGAAGTTTTACTTATTTCTCTTGTTTTGGTTCATTTTCATAGGTATTTGCACGGTTATTAATTTCTTATACTATCTCTTCCTATTGTGTATGTCAAGAGCGCGTGCGCAATTGGTATTGTGGAATATTAACAAGCATGAATGGAAGGTGCGGATTTGTTATTTGCTTTTCGTTCCTTTTCATTTTCTGTTTTTTATCTAGCAAGCACTTGTTTGCTTGCTACTTTATTGACTCAGTGTTTATTTCATTTTCAAACAAATATTAACTTTTTGTATGAAAATTTGATTACAGCATCAGTTTATAGATATTAAAATAAATTTTGCTTATTTTCAGTTATCCGGATTCCATAACGATGATATGAAGCGTTTCGTAAACGATTTCCTTCGACCTGATGGTGTACTTCTGTTGAAATTTATCAGTGAGCATGTCGATGCCAGGATATCCCGGGATCTTGTTAACGAGTTAATTCGAATTTATTCAAAACAGGTCCATATTGTTTATTATTGAGACTTTCTTTTTGTAAGGAATATCCTTTTATAACAGATTTGCTCAGAAGTAATACTGAAATTATTTTACAATTAGAACTTTTCAAATTGAAAGTTCAATTTCATTTAAAATGGTATGGATTTCAACTTTTTTTGCAGCAAAATATATCCATAGAGAACGACAGCAAACAAACGTCGAGTGTATCTTCAGAAGAAAAGGCACTGATAACCAGCAGCAAAACAAGTAAAAAGTATTATGGAAATTTCGGGAAAAATATTAAGGTTTTAATTTTATCGTAATTCACCTTTTCTGATTCCTTAACAGTATTTTGTAAAAAATTTACTGTATATTTCACATTCGATTTTTTCATGGACATTTTAGTGTTTTGAAAAATTTCTGAAGTTTTGGAAGATCCCATAAACTAGAAAGATATATAGACAAAAGTTTGAAACATTTTTACACTCAAAAGAAGTTAACTTTTTTTCAGTCGCTTTACCCTTCAAAAGGCAATATACCAATACCAAGTCAAATGCAGCATTCACCTTTATATGGAACTGGTTATGAAAGTGCTCCTGTTCTGGAAGACCTTGTCGACGGAACTCTACCTATTCGGGCAATGGCACGTGCTCGAGTTACACAGTCTCAGAATCATTCCACCGAAAATGTTTATGGCAGTCCTGGATCGCAACTGCGACAGAATACACCCACTGAAGTCTAATTCAACTGACATGGTTCCATATTTTTTAATGAGACATTGATTTTGTTGATTTCTCCTTATCTCATTTTTTGAAGGAATCGGTGGATTGTTAAAAATTGGTTTTGTTTTAATCAAATTCCTTAAATGTATTAATTAAAAAACATTTCCAAACAATCAAAAATTGGAAATATTACATTTGAAAGATCAAATGTATTGCTAAAATGTTGTTTGTTTGTGTTTTTCTAGCATTTCACTGAAAGACACTGTGGTGTTTTTTAACATTTTCTTTTCAACCAACATATGTTCCGCGGGAAAATAATAATATATTATTTTCTGAGTTAGAAATTACAAATGGCAAAAACATGTTAATAGCAAAAAAGTGTCATCTCAGTAGTTTAATAAATTACCAACTCTAATTCATCTGTTGTTATCAAATCTCAATTTTCATCCTACAACTTTAGTTCAATTATATTATAATTTGCACCTATTTATTTGCAATTAACAAATGAAACTGAACTGTTTATGATATTATAAAAAACCACTTTTTGCCGAAAAATTCGAAAATTATATGTGCAATTGTGGGAATAATTCATACTACAGTGCTTCTGCATACCATTTTAAAATATTGTATATTTCCGGATGTATGGATAAGGAATACTTTTTTCATCTGTTTATGTTGTAACATTAAACTTTTGATGGAATGAACAATACCAGAATTATTACTACATTTTGGTGGGCATTTCAGTACTGGACTATTTCAAATATCCGAATTTTATGCTGCCTACCAAGATTTTGATCCAAAAAGTTTTATTGATTTTTTTAACAAGTATTTGTTACAGTATTTTACAACTAATTATAACAGCGTGAGGGGTTGCTTGTCTCTTTGGCCGTGTTCGGTGTGTATCTTTGTTTCATCAGCAGAAATACTATTTTGCTTATCATACATATATTTATCTATTGCTGATCGATCTATTAAATACTGTCAAAAAGACTCTTCTTAACTTTACAGACAACAGTGCTTTTTTAAAATTTGCAGACAGTGATAGAAGCCGTGGTCATTCCCATCTTATCAAGCATTTCATTTTGCATGTTGTTGAATCATTATTCCGATGACATCATTTTGATTCATGATAAAAACTTGTGAAATGTTTCAGAACATCCACAGAAAGAGTATTCACTATCAGATTTCTTCGCTATCACTGATTCACATGTTTACAAAAAAGCATTATTGTCCCGCAATTTTCTTTTGTGATTCTTCCGATAATGACTGGCTTCCCCCGCATTCTGGATCTGTAAAAAAGGCTCAGTTGATGGCTGAAATGCAATTACTAGTCATTTTAAATATTTTTAATATCAAATTTAAGTTTTTATACAGTTACCTTTAGCGAGAATAGTGCTATCGAGTTCTTCAACAATTTCCTCAAAAATCTTCTCTAAGTTATTATCGCCATCGACCTGAGAAAAATCAAATTTCTACTTAAAACCTTCAGTTCTTTTGTCAGAAAAATTAAATAAAAGTGGAGCGACAAAAACAACCATGCATTAATGTAGAATTTAAAGGTGGAGATTTGAACTCTTTTTTACTTTTTATGTATGTATGAATGAGACTTATTGGTGACTTGTTTAGACCAAGACATAGTAATAAGCTTAATAAAATACTCCTCTAAACTAATTTATATTAAAAAGCTCCTCTTCAGAGTATCTTAAGTTAATATTAGGATAAAGTAAACTGTACTCCTACACATACCACTTTAAGCTTCCCTTTGTCATCAAAATACTTCAACATCGGTAGCGTATTTTGCTTAAACATCTGTAGTCGAGCATTTATTACTTCTGGATTGTCATCTGAAAAAAGAACAATCAGAAAGTTTTTGATTATTTAATGAGATGATAACATGGCTGCAAACTTTAAACTATTTGAGGAGCCAAATCATTCAGTATTCATACACCTTTTTTATACCTGTTCTAACTAATATCCCCTCTTTGTTGCGTTTCTTAATAGTTTCAATGCAAAAATCTTCAGTGCAGTCGATTAAAATCACCGAAACAAGTCGATCAATCTGAAATAAAATTGTCTCAATAATTTCTATTGGAATGCTTTTAATTACCTGAAACTAATTAAAATCATTATTACCTGATTTTCAAAATCGATAGCTTGATTTTTTGTCCGTGGATAACCTTCTATAATATAACCGCTACTAATATTATCCTCATCGTAAATTTTTGAGTAAAGCAATTCACGACAGATTTTCTGAAATAAATGGTATGAAAATGTTTCAACTAAGTTTATTAAAGAAAAAAAGTTTAATGAAATTTCTGAGATAAAAACTAGTACAACAGTGAAACGAAGTAAACCTACCCTTGAAGATAAAACATAAAAAATTGCTACCGTAGGCACCGCTTCACCAGCATCCATTTTCTTCCCAATTCTTTGCCACAATTGATCATCCGCATTTGCTTGTACCTCTTTCCTAAGTAAATCACCCATACTAAGATACATGAAACCGTCGTATCGCACAGCTATACGCTTTGAAATTTCCGCTTTATTAGATCCTGGAGGTCCTGGAGCATGCTCGAATTGTTGTTTCATTTAAAATTTTGGTAAACTATTACTAGAGTGTAATTATAGACACTTGCTTTAAAATTAGAAACATTATTGTAAAATTGAAATCTTCCCAGCTACTGTTAAAAATTTCGAGCTTTCAGGTTTGAAATCGTATATAATTTTTCAAAACCACATATATTATGCTTCAGATTCTCTTAGTCTAAGCAAGTAGTCCAACATAGTCCAATATTGTGCACATAAGAACAGGAGGCTTCGCTAAAAGCATGCTTGGTCAATAAAAAAAAAAGAATTCTTCACAACTAGTGTTATCCATCCCAAGAGCATTGCTAGTACAGCATATATTTAATGAAGAAAGAACGGTATGCTCTAAGATGCTTAAATTTATTCAATGTCAACAAATATTCGGTCAAATAGAAAAATGAAAGAAAACAATCAAACATTTCAAGCACACGGTAAATAATTTATTAGTTTAGTACAATGTAATGTTATAAAAAGTGTCGAAACTTTGCTCACCAACAATAACGATGGCTGATGCGTTATTGGGTAGACCTGGCGAAAAACGATTATCCACTGCGGAAACGTTTGATTTTGAATCGGGCGATGGTCCGCCAATTAGCTGAGCTGAAATGACTGAAGGAGTGCTCCGTAATTTCAGTAAAAAAGATAAAACAATTGAATCAATATTTTAATATCAATCAAAAACACAAATAGCTGTTTTGCTATAACATTTGAAAGCAGTTTTATAAAGAAATGGAAATTCAACTTTCCTTTCATGCGTGCTTAATTTTTATGCAATGCAACAAAGAGACACTATGGTCAACAAGAAATAAATTATTAAACTCCTAAAACTCACAAATTTTTGGAAAATTATAAAGCACATTCTCCCTCGACGTTTAATACCTAAATAATAGAGTGAAGAAGGCTGCATTTCGTCATAAAGGATTTTTCTATTCGTAATATCCGATTCAGTTTCCGTAATTCTCCTTTACTCATTAGTTTGATTCATTAGGTATGATTTACCATTGTTTTTATTGTCAGCACTGATTAGTTGCTTTATTCGCAACACTAACAATAGCTACAAACTAGCCATAATTGTGGGTGGTTTAGATTAAAAAGACTGAATGTTTTGTCGGAATTCTAAAAGAGATAACGTAAAGTTACACTTCAAATCAAATAGAAAACAAATGTGTACATCATTAGTCTGTATGCAGTCAGAATTTTAAAATTCGTTCTAGAAAATTAATTACTATTTGAATATCGTTAATTATTTGTTTTTTGTTTTTTTTTTCTCTATCTCTCTAACAATGTTTTTTTGATCTTTATTGATAGGATGGCGAATGTGTAAGGTAGGAAGATATTGATAAGATGATGAATATATAGTTAAACTGCTCAACAGCAATGTTTGAATAATTAATTCTGGCTAAATTAAGCAGTTTGGAAAAAGCAACAGTAAATCCGAATGGAGTTCAGAATGAGGGAAGATAAAAGATAAGCAATCATATAGTGTTTGTAACTGTTATCACTAAAACATATTTCAGGAAAAGCAAAAACTTGAAAGGTTGTTAAGGATAAATTGAAGAACTGCATTCCAGTTTTTGTGCAAGATCGAAAAAAAAAAAGAATGTAAAGTGGAAATGCGATCTTTTAGAATAAAACTTACTCTCACTTTTGATACTCTGTGCTGACTGACTTTCACTTTTGACGCTGTGTGCAGATCGACGTGAAGTTTCGGATGATTTTGAAGTTTGTGAAACTGTCCTGCTGATTTTGCTTAGTGTCCTCTTAGTATATGATTTGGCTTAAATTTATTAGTAGTATCAAAAGCTATGAATGACAACTTTGTTGAAAAATAACCAAATAAATAAAAACTTATTATATTTATTTACTTTGAATAAGTAAATACCGAATTGTACGGGAATATTTTTCAATATTCCAGAGTTTTTGAAAATTAGGATAAATGTTTAAAAAAAATTTGCAATACATATGTGTAAATGATCAACTTAATTCGATCAAGTTAAATTGAATACCAATTAATTTTAAATGCAATCGATTTTAATTAATTCAGAAAGATCTAGAAAACTTCTAACTCGATTGTCTCGATGATTGCGATGACCCTTCCACATTTGGTGCATTATTTGTTGAAACTGGCGTTACTAGTGCTGGCTGTGTAATGCTTTCTAAAAAAAACTTTTTAAGTTAGGTTTTTAGAATAGATTACAATGATTTGATGTAAAGTGCAAAATTTCTCTTTATTCATAAGAAAGTCATTTATTTATGTTTCCCTAACTTCTATTATGATAAATAATATATCTAGCAATTTACCACTTGTAATTCCTGATATCTGTGATCTCTCGCGTACTTCGGTGTTTGTTATCGCGGAATCAGTTCTCACTTCTGCGAGTTTTGATTCATTAGTCTGTAAAATAGTTTAAAATTCGGTTGATTTATAAACAAACAATAGATTTTCGATCAGAACACTCATAAGCATTCCAAAAATTTTATGCTTTCACAGATGATACAACTAAGATCTAAAAACATTGTCAATTTCCCAAATTAGTGAAAATAAACTAAGTTGTATAAGTTACACTAGTTTCTATACTTCCTTTGTTTATAACAATTTTGACAAAAAAGATTACCTTCATTACATTTTAATAAGAAAAATCTAGTCTTACGTAGTTATTATGGTAATACCCAACCATTTTTCACTTAATTCTATCTTACAGCGTTTTAAAATTTCAACCCCTTTAATAGATGAGATATTCCTTCGGAGTAAAAGTGCTATATAACGAGGAATTATATTATGTAGCAAAAGCTGAAATAAATTGTACCGCATTTCCTTTGCGTGAAATTTGACGTTTTGAGGCTGTTAATGGTTTATCTTTTTCTGAAAATAATGGTTACCATAGGGTAGTTTCTGGTATTTCATTTTCTTTTCATTTCTAGCCAAGTCGAAAAGCGATGTTTTCTTTAGTATTTACATTAAAAGTATGCATGAATAGAATGAATCTATAGAAGAATTTAAAAGATCGCTGATTGCGTTAAGCGCGATATATTCCTCTCCTTATATTTCTGCTGTATTCATTTGAAATTGCATACGAATTTACTGTTTATGAATTTGCAGTTAAAATTTTTCTCCTTATCCATTTGCGACAATTTTTTGCTGATGAAATCACAAATTAAAATTTGATGAATTTTACCAGATATCGTCTTTGATGTAGCCTTTTCAGATGCTGACGTTGTCGTGTTTATTACATCCCTTGCTGTTACCGGGGAGTTTAAAACTAATGTAGCAGGTTCACCTTCCGTTCCTGTAGCACTGCTTAATATTGGATCTGCTTTCGTTTCATTCTCTTCTACTTCGACTTTTGTTGGGGAACGTGATCGATTTTCGGATGTTTGCGCAGTGGCTACTGCAGCTTCCACAATTGCCACAGCTTCTGCCACAGTAGCAACCTGGAAGTCTTTACTTCAGTCCGGAAATAAATTTTTAATCATTGTGGACAACCTTGAAGATTGCTGCTGTATAGCAATTGGTTCCTCAACTATCTTTACCATTCCGATCTTAAATACAACTTCAATTTTAGATCAGAGCTGCTAAAATAATTTAAAGATCAAAAAAGTGAGAAAACTGGACGCCATACGTGCCATACGTGACAGTACAAAAAGTGTTTGTGAAGGTAACACAATGTGGCTTGGATTAATAAGTTAGGTATTAAATTTTACTAAATTGCCATTCGATAAAATTTTAATTACCACTTGGCCATCGAATATATCTCTTGAACTCAAATTAGATCAGACTCATTTCATTATGCTATTCATAAAATGAGTTATCCATTTATAAATTTCGACTTTCAAACAATCTATTGAACAAAGCGTACTTTTGATTTAGCATAAATAGCAGTGTTATGATGAAGAAATAGAAATTAGCTCACTTCTACCCACAAACCTTTACTTTATCACTTATCTGTTATCAGGGAACAAAGTGAAGATATTTTGAGGAAGTTCAATATTAAAATAATATTAGTTCCTATAAAATATTTATGTAATGTTATCGCATAGTTCATTACAAATTTAAGTATTTGGAGTACCGCATCAGGTCGTTGCAGTGGCGATTCCGCTCTTGAAGCCACTTTTGAGGTTGTAACTGGTACACCAAGTTCCATCGCTCGCTGAATTAGCAATTTCATACGTTCAAAAATCCATTGATCGGTCTGTTCTCCAGGTATCTAGAATTTCAAGCCTTAGATTTGTTAAAGTTAAGGAGTATCTTCTAAGGAAATTAACACATAGAAAAATATATAATCAGATAAGTAACTAAACAAATAATTAGAAAGTATACTAAACTGTTTTTATACAAATTGTAAACAAACCAGATGTAATAATCGTTGATCATCGAAATATTTGGCACTTGGCAAAGTTTTCAGCTTGAATTCACGAATTTTGGCATCAATAATTTCTGCATCTAATCCACGACTTTCCATGTGATGTCGCAGCGTAATTTCATCATAATCCAGAATCATTGCCATGTTTACAGGTTTTACCTAAATAAATTATTTGTATTTCTATATATTTATTTACTATAGATAGTGAAAGCAGTTCACTAGAAGATCATCATTTATTTCTGCAATTCAACTTTGTTAATGAAATTTTCGCACCTCACGTTCGAAACTCTCAACCTGGCGTGCTTCACGTGGAAATCCTTCAAGGAAGAAGGCTTTTGCCCCCTGATGCCTACTCATTTCAGCTTTCACGAGTCCAAGCGCTAAATTATTGGGTATCAGTTCACCTAAAATGGGATCAAAATATTTACAGGAAGAACTTTATCCCTTATATTTTACCAATCAAATTTTTAAGCACAAATGCATGTTTGCAAGAAATTTACGAAACTATTGTTCCCCGAAGATGGTAAAAGGTATTCAATGATCAGGTTCATATAACTTTAACAATTGGTCAACTTCACAAAACCACATAAACGGAACAGGGGTTTCTGAAAAAAAAAATCTAGAATTGGACCAATCCTGAATTGAGTAGTAGAAATTGAATATTGAATGCATAGGTATAAACAAAATATGTACTAAAATGGACCTCGCTGATACCGTTGTGCTGCTTCCTTCCATTCTAAATTACTGTTCTGATATTTCGCGATCGCTACTCGGATCATATCGGGCATACAGATATGCACAAGGCCGAATTTGCTTAACGCTTCCTGCACTCGCGCTGCATGTCGTGTTTTGCCACCTCCTGGACCTCCTGCGTAGGGAAGAAATATTTTAATACTAATTTTTAAGTATCGAATATTTGTCATTCGCAATATTTGAAAAAAAAAAAAAAAAAGACATATCAGCAAACTTTTATTTAGCGTAATAATATTATCAAAGATTTTTAGACATCACTACAATCAACTCATTACATTTGTGATTGTATCGAAGACAAGTTTCATTCGCAATAATATCTAATCATTTATCCGATAATAGTTAACTGAACTTGGTACTGTGATTAAGTAAGCAGCAGTTATTGTTACTCATACATGATTCTGTTTTTTGCTTAAGTCGTAAATGGAAACATTCAATATTATTTGCTAGAAATGTCATTAAATAGAAAATATCACCTGGACTTATCATCGTATAGAATCGATAGATCTACACAAAAGTTATTTTTTATTATCTAACTTTCGTTTAGTAAAATTAATATCAAATATTCAGACAGCTAGAAATAGTTTAAAAATTTTGGAAAAAAATTGAACGTACCCATGAATAAAACGATTGGCACATCCGGTATTGATGCCGCTTCTGCAGTTTGCATAACGGATGGAGGCCGAAACGAAGATTTGTTGTTGGTAGTAACCGTAGAAGAGACGACAGATCTATTGGGACTAACTCTGAAATAATGAACTTAAAATAATAATTGATACCTTTGCAGTTAATTGGAGTATTGTGGAAAATTCTGGAATGGAAAATGACAGAAACAGTTGAGCAGGAATGTCTGATTCATAAAGATAATTTGCTGTGACAATAAATGTTGTATGATTAGAATGACAGAAGTTCGGAGACATTAATAAATGGAGATTGGAAGACAGGAGGTAGAACAAAGTTAAGGATTAAGGATAACTGCATAATTGTTTAGAATAGAAATCGCGAAAAAAATAGAGAGAGAAATAAAAGGTTTGAATTCTCATTTTATGATTTTAAAAGAGAAGAAAGAGGAAAAGGCTATACTTTCCTTTAGGAAAATTTATAATTAATAGTAATGATAATAATAATAATAATAATAATAATAATAATAATAATAATAATAATAATAATAATAATATAATATAATAATAATAATAATAATAATAATAATAATAATAATAATAATAATAATAATAATAATAATAATAATAATAATAATAATAATAATAATAATAATAATAATAATAATAATAATAATAATAATAATAATAATAATAATAATAATAATAATAATAATAATAATAATAATAATAATAATAATAATAATAATAATAATAATAATAATAATAATAATAATAATAATAATAATAATAATAATAATAATAATAATAATAATAATAATAATAATAATAATAATAATAATAATAATAATAATAATAATAATAATAATAATAATAATAATAATAATAATAATAATAATAATAATAATAATAATAATAATAATAATAATAATAATAATAATAATAATAATAATAATAATAATAATAATAATAATAATAATAATAATAATAATAATAATAATAATAATAATAATAATAATAATAATAATAATAATAATAATAATAATAATAATAATAATAATAATAATAATAATAATAATAATAATAATAATAATAATAATAATAATAATAATAATAATAATAATAATAATAATAATAATAATAATAATAATAATAATAATAATAATAATAATAATAATAATAATAATAATAATAATAATAATAATAATAATAATAATAATAATAATAATAATAATAATAATAATAATAATAATAATAATAATAATAATAATAATAATAATAATAATAATAATAATAATAATAATAATAATAATAATAATAATAATAATAATAATAATAATAATAATAATAATAATAATAATAATAATAATAATAATAATAATAATAATAATAATAATAATAATAATAATAATAATAATAATAATAATAATAATAATAATAATAATAATAATAATAATAATAATAATAATAATAATAATAATAATAATAATAATAATAATAATAATAATAATAATAATAATAATAATAATAATAATAATAATAATAATAATAATAATAATAATAATAATAATAATAATAATAATAATAATAATAATAATAATAATAATAATAATAATAATAATAATAATAATAATAATAATAATAATAATAATAATAATAATAATAATAATAATAATAATAATAATAATAATAATAATATAATAATAATAATAATAATAATAATAATAATAATAATAATAATAATAATAATAATAATAATAATAATAATAATAATAATAATAATAATAATAATAATAATAATAATAATAATAATAATAATAATAATAATAATAATAATAATAATAATAATAATAATAATAATAATAATAATAATAATAATAATAATAATAATAATAATAATAATAATAATAATAATAATAATAATAATAATAATAATAATAATAATAATAATAATAATAATAATAATAATAATAATAATAATAATAATAGTAATAATAATAGGAGTAGGCAAGAAATTTTCAATTTCTTGGTTAACGACAACTGGAATTGTAGAATTGTTTGAAGAGAAAAAAACATAGCTCAAATTAGGAAAATTCCGGAAGGCATCCATGGCTCGTCTTATTATCTTATTAATCCATTCTAAAATTTGACCTTCCTATTCCTAATTGCTTCCAATTGAATTTAGGAAAGCAAACCTTGTGGCTTGTTTTTTGATACCTGGTGTCCTTGACTTCGCTTTTTTCTTCGGTTTTTCAGTCGGTGAAACTGTCAGACCTAAAAAGTGCTCTTGAAATCATTAAATTCATCCTAAAATTTTAATCTTAACACCTCTAAAAGACACATAGAAATGTGTCATATCTCCAGTTTTTTAATTGCAACACAAACATGTATTTTTATTAAAAAAACATATAAAGATCCCAAATAATCATCACTGAATTATGGAGAACAAATTCACTTTAAACTTTTGACTAATTCCATAACTTAATATTTGAATTGAAGGTATTTTTCTCACAATTAAAGCATTTGTTTTTAAAAAATTAAGCTCCCACAAAATTATTTTGCTCTTAATAATTAATATATGTAAAAGAACTTTTTCTGAACAAAATAAAAAAATATTCGAAAAAAAACAGCTATCTTTATATTTGATCTTTCAGAGATTCTTAATAACGTATAGTCATACGATATATTTTAACTAAATTTTATTAAGTTAGCGATGAAGCTTTCAATTGTGATATTTTACACCACGTTTTTATTTATCAAAAATAATAATTTTTAGGTGGATTTGAAACAAACGGTCAAATAAATCAGGCAATTTAGTATTCTTGATGACGACTTCTAGGAGAGGTTTATCAGATTCATCAGGGATTTTTAATGGCGTTTCGAATGACAAGAAATATAAATTGGAACATATGAGAAATGTATAATTTGACATACGTTACGAGTGGTGGTGGCTCGTACGTCATATTGGGTTGAGTTTATTGACTGATTGAAGATCATTTCTTTGTGAATGGAATGGAATAAAAATGATCGAAATGAAAAGGATATGAGAGTGACTGTGGCTATGATATATCTATCATACATCGGGAAAATGAAAATTTCTTGGTTTCATTGTTGAGTCATGCGATAAATGACATGCAAAAAAGCGAGAGAGCAATTTTGGCGTATTTAAATTGTTACTCGTAACTCTCTCTCTCTCTCTCTCTCTTTCCCTCTCTCCGTCTCCTGCTCCTTATCTCTTTCTCTCTGAAGCAGATCATATCTGCTGTCATAATTTCGGATTGCTTCTCTTTTTGAATTTTTGTCATTGCCTGTACTTTGAAATTTTGCTTTAATTCGTTTACTTTCTGCTGTAAATATGCGAAATGTATTTTGATTTTGCAGCGTATAATTTGAATACATTCAGTTTAAGTTTTTGGATAAATTTATTCAGATTGAATCATTAGGCTATGGTCTATTTTCCTTATCTTTCGGCCTGTATTTGCCTAAAAAATATTTCAGAACAAAGATGTTATGTGAGAGCTTAAATTATTTATTCCACAAATTTAACTAACCAGACGTGACGGACGGTTGATCATATTCTTGAAGCACCTTCTTGTCAACAAATGAATCCCATTTGTATTCGAAACTCGGGTTTTGCCGTACTTTACTGAGAGAACTTTCTAAGAATTCAATCGGATCTTCTGGTTTGTTGCAAATCAATCCTGTTATCAGGCTCTGCAATTCATTTAGCAGACTTCGTGAAAACAATTTCATAAACCTTTGAGAAATTCCATCACTAGTTTTACAAAATTTTTTTTAAAACACTAAGAATCTAAACCATTAAAACCGTTATTCAATAATTTTTGAATTTTCGAAGTTGAAATATGTGTACAAGGATTAAGGTAAAAAGTGTAGAATAGGGGCAATATGTGCAGCTCATAAGCGTATTTCTGTAATTAAATTCTCAGTGAATCTCCTCAGAACGCGTCGCCTAATTCTAAATGCTTGTATAAGTGATATAATAGAAGTAGTAACTCAGTAAAAAATTCTACTGATGTCATCGATAGGTCTCTTTGGGGCTCATTAGACCTGCTCTGTCTGAATTACAATGGTTAATAATGCCATAAATTATTGTTATAAACAATTTTTGACAGAATTTGAATTTGAAATTTTGTTAAAAAAGACCTTTTCTAGAGATGCAAGGTGCTTATATATTCATTCTTCAAATCTAAAGAAATCTCGGGTGATACTGAAATATCTCTACAATTCTGAAGAAATAGCTCATTCCTAATCTGTGGCTCTTTTGAAATGTTTAGCACATTTTAAAAAATTTCTTTTTATAATAGCTCTGCTCGTAATTGTCTAGCAGTTTGCTATCAGCTCTCACTTATTTATATAGATTTTTCTTCAAACTTCTTTGCAACTCCTCTTCCTGATTGTGAAATAATTTGAAACATTCATTTGAGCATGAAGTTTTAGGAGATTTTAAACAGATGAAGTCTTTAGAAAGAAAAGAACTATGTAAAAACACGAAACTTCAGCGAAAATTTAATCTGTTTAACTTTAATAAGCTATTAAAATATTCATTAAAATACAGGTATAAAATAATTTCTGTTTAAAGCAATTTTCAAGTCAAAGTACGATCCTTACATCTAAATTAAGCATCATTTAAATAAATAAATAAATATATATATATATATATATATATGAATTACATTTAGATTGATTAGTTGTCCGCATAGATAATCAAAAAAGGAACGGAACAATTTCTATGCCAGAGCTTACAGGAGGTAAATTTGACCTCATTGACCTCATTGAACCTATCCTTAGCTTGTTTAATTTTTATACACACATTTTTGGTAGCTTCGGGATAGTTCCAAAAATTCCCGAAATTAATTGAACATTTGAACTGGCAGTGATAAAAAGAGAAATATTATAGGGAATTGCAATTATAAACAATTCGAGATGAGAGATTGAGAAAAACAGAAAGAGAAAATGTGATTTATCGAAAGAAAAAAAGAAATGCATCGAAACGGTTTATCTTAACTTTAACAATTACTTGTTGAATGAACCAGGAATAGTATACATATTTTTTCAATTTATACCACTCATTTTAATTTTTATTTTAGTCGGAAATTATCATAAATTATAGCCATAGTCATGTATAATGAATTTGATAGAAATGGATGATATCTATGCTAATGCTATTAAAGCAGTACTGCAAAAAAAAAGAAGCAATCATCTATAAGTGATCTTCAGAAAATTTTTAGAGCTGCAAACTTTGAAACGTATCAAACTAATTAAATCAAAGGCCAGAATAAAGCAAAAATATGGTTTACTAACAGAATTAACGTATCTAATAGTGAAATATCTCCTACGCTAATAAGTCCTTTTGTGAGAATGCTAATCTTCCAAGCAGCAGCGACATTTTTTCTTGGCCACTATATCCTCCTACTTGTTAACAATGATATAAAACTGTTATGCTTACCAAAAAAATTTTGTTTTTTGAGATATGAGCAATATGAAGTGACGGACTAAATTACAAAGGTAAATTGCTTTCATTCATTTTTCGCCACTCAAGATTAAGTTTCAAAGAGCTGGTGCATATTTTCTGAATATATGAATAATAGATATAAAATATTGAAAATAATCATATCTCTTTGTCCTCTTTCCTTCCTCGTTTATTTGTAATAACTGAACACTTATTTTACCTACGTTAAACTTATTTAACTGCCGTTTTTCTTTTAGGTTCTAAATAAAAACCTAAGAAACAGAAGGAAATGACTGATATGTACTGCTGTTGTATAAAGGAATGCTACTTCTCTTAAGATTATTACTGATTTTATCTCAGCGTAGTATATGAATTAGGTCTTTTGTTTTTAAATAATTCTGTTTTATAATTATCATGTAATCAGACAAAATTCATCTTATAAATTTAATAAATCATATAAAGTTGAAAATGAGAAAAGAACCTCGAAGAGTTGCGGTATAGCATGTTCTTGAAGATAACGCTTAGCTTCAGCACCCATCAATATTTACGTTTAAATTCAAAGTTCTGCTGAAAAAATTTTCTTCCTGTTTAACAAATGTTGAAATTATTTGAAAGTATTAGTCTTACATCTCTCATGAATAGTATTAGTTATTTAATTAATTAGAAACTCTAAATACAAAACAGAATTATTTCAATGCAATTTTTATATGCTGCATGTATGTGCTGTATTCAAAAGTTTCAAAGATCTTTTACAATCGATGATATCTTTTATAACGTTTTGCTGGTGTAAAGATAGTAGTAGAGCATTACTTTTCAAAATATAATCAAGGAAACTGCACAAAGCAAAAAATACTTTCTTATCCTCCAAAATTTTATCCAAACTTTGACCTCAACATCTACTTGTCATTTTTTGTATTAACAGCTGTGTAACCACTTCCCGAATGGAAAATTAAGGACCATTTTTCTTCCTTCTCATTTTGTCATTCTCATGGTAATGAAAGCGAAGTACATGAATTTGTTAAATCTTCTCTGTAAGGTCCATATCTTCAGCCTTTTTAATCTAGTGACTAACAAAAAAAACTAAGATTTCTTTATTTTAGAATGGAAGAACTAAATCCAATAACTATTTTGCTTAAACCAAGAACTAAGGATTTTTTTTTTCGAACGTAGGCACTCACATAAGTAAAAGTTATATATATATATATATGCTAGTAAAAATCAATATCCCGAAGCGAAATCTTCCATCTTTTCTGGAAAATGGAATATTTATTTTCCTGACATTTCATCAATAAGAAAAATCATTTTCAAAATACTTCCGGCATTATTTCATATATTGCGCGTTTGCAAAATTTTAGTCTTTAATTAAAATATGATCAGCTTTCTTTCCTCTTTCTATTGAAATAAGCGGTTTAGCCTTTGTAAAAAGATTATTATATCATTTCCCCTGGACTACTAATAACTTCATCTTTCAATGAAAGAAATTTGAACAAAATGTCATAATTTCTATTTCCAAATTTTTTATTGCCATGACAACAGTATGATATGATATTAATAACCAAAATATACAGTTACTTTTGGGATATTCTCAGAATGGTCGTTTTGTCGTTACTTTTTTGCTGACTTCTATAGATCGTATCACTAGCATTTTACTCGGAAATATGCATCAAATATATATCCCACTGATTGGTAGAAAATTTATAGTAAAAGCAGAAAATATTTAATCACTGGAAATAGAAGAATACAATTTACAATATCGTCGTGTTAATATTTAGCATTATCTCGCACTAAATCAATAGATTAGTGACGACAATAATAGAAATAATTAAAGCGTACTAATTTGTGATCTTTTAGGATATGAAAAGGAAAATCCTAAAATTTGAAACGGAGAAAGAAATGAATTGATTACATTCCTTTATCTTTCTATCCTCTTAAAACTTTGTCAATATTTTTGTTTTTGCTGGCACACAATTCTCTTTCTTTGTATTTATTTACTGGAAATGAAAACAAAACAAAGATAAACAAAAACAGCGCAAAATGCAAACCGTATTACAATAATCATTCTACCGTTGTACAATTAATTAACTTATGGAATGTATGTGTTGAGGGATAGGAAGTGATTGTCGGCTTATTTGAAGCTAGTGTTTATTAACAAAATGCCTTCTTTAACTGATTATATAATTATAGGCTTCTCGTTCCCTTATTTTAAATCAGCTTGGTTGCTATGACAATTTGTCTGACTTCACTATATTTTAAATGACAGACACCACCAACACATTCATATTACCTGATGAAAACAACATAACACACAAGGAGCTAGCAAATATTATTATGTTTGTACTGTCAATTATCGTTACATTCATCTTTTCCACTTTAACTAGAAAATGAAAGTAATAAATTCTTTCCTTGAAAATAAATTTTTAATAAAAATGATTTCTGATGTTTAAAAATAAATCGGCTGTAATGTTAATTACAGCCGATTTATTCGACCAAAATCTATCGAAGTACAATTTATCATAGGAAAAATTATCGAAATTCTTTAATTACATCACTTAACCTTTTTTGGATTTCATCACAAAGTTATTCGAAAAGAGAAAATTTGCTGAATTTAAAAGCTTGAAAAAATTAGCAACTATTGTAATGATCGTTATATACAGGTAAAAAATTGCACCATTTTGAGTGGGAATAGCCGTAGTAAAATTGGATACACTAAACTAATACAATATAAGCATTATTGACCAATTATCTACTAATAATACAAATCATTTATAAGTTATTGCTTAATGTGTCTGTTACTAGATTTCGTGGATTTCAGGCTGTAATCTTAGCAGACAAAGCCTTATAATTTTAGCAGACAAAGCCAATTTTTCTTCTAAATAAGCATTTCCAGCTTCACTGTTCGAAATCGATTATAAATATCAAAAATTTCATTCTTCTTTTAAAGAAAAAGTTGAAATACATTTATAATATCAGGGGTGAAAAGGTATGTCAGGAGGTATGCGACCGACTAGTTCATAGTCGAAATAAATGCAATTATTTGCAATAGTAACAGTACGGCCTTCTGCTTTGGCTTTTCGTATTTCTGCTTCCAAAGCCAAAAGGTCCATACCTGGTGGAGCCTTAGCCAGAGCTGTTGCTTGCTGCATCATCATCGCTATACCTGTCCTGATATCGTAACTGAAATAAAAGTTTATAAATACATGCGATGATATTTCTTGCAAGCTTCAAGTCAGTATTATATTTAGATTATCTCATGCTCCTGAATAGAATTTATATGGATTTTTGC